TATGTTTAAATAGTGCTTGGGTTTTTTTATAATTTCAACCCCCATTTTGGGTGTTTTAGTGAAACTCCCTAATTTTAAATCATGAATTGTGCAAAAAGAGTTTTTATAGTGGGTCAATAACAGTTATTATTATTATTTTTGCATTTGTAGAGTTTGATATTTAAAAATATTTGTTTACAGGTGGCTATTGGGTCTGGGGATGCAAAGTATATAGAGAAAGTGAGGGAGGCCCAATTGGGAATGAAGGTTCCAAATGTGGTTTGCGTGGATGCAAAGGGGTTGGAGCTCAAAGATGATCATTTGCACCTGACCACCAAGGCCCAGGTTCAATTGGGTCAAATGTTGGCTGATGCTTACATCAAACACTTTGTATCATCAGAAGACGATGCTCATCCTGCCCTTTAAAAGTAAACACTCAAATTTCGTTGTGTTTGTTTGTTTGTCGGTCTCCTTTAACTTGTTGACTTTGTGCTACAACTATAATGTCAGCAGGTCTTAAGTTCGACGACCGTTGGTGTATTACTAGACTACACTATTGTGGACTCTGCATGCTAGTGGGTTGAATGTAGCTTTTGGGCTTTTGGTCCGCTGAGCCTACGAGGCCTGATACTAAACCATTAGATCTTTGTTGATGGGTCCTATCTTTGTTTGATTACACTGCACTCTGTTTATTCGGGAGAGGTTACAATGAGGAGTTTAAAGTGAGGAGGCTATTTGAGGGGACCGATTCCATCATCAAAACATTTAAAATATTTAACTCTCATGATTTCTTTACATTTGTTGATGGTGAGATTAACCTTCTCAAATAGTCTCCTCACTTTAAACTCCTTATTATAGCCTCTTCGCTGTTTACTCATTGAATTAACAACATTCTCATCGTCACTTTCATCCCATTTATCAAGTGAACTGCAAAATGATGATAACTTCATAAGTAAGGTCATTGTCTTTGACTTTGAAGTTGGATCCCATTCATTAAGTCTACGTAGAAAATGGTTTTAAATATAAATGAATTCGTGACATTATATTAAAAAGCACACACATGCTTATAAGCGTTTTTATGACTCATTATGCTTTTCTTGATTTCTTCCTAGTAGAATTATCCCATCATATGAATAAATCGGGTTATTTCCCCTGTAATTGTGGATGGCTTTTCTTCCTAGATGATTTCGTGCTAGATTTTTGTCTCCCTTGTGTTTTGCAAGGTTTGTCTTATACCTAGTTGTTCTGGGGTCTTTATCTTTGTAGATCTATCCTTTTCGTCTATATTGTGGGGGCCTTGAAGTTTTGGGGTTAATGAGGTGGATCTCCATCAGTCCGTGTTGAGGGGTGGAATTGTTGATTTTGTGGATCCACTATCAATCCGTGCGTTGAGTTTAGGAATGTTTAGAAAACATTGTGACCATGTGTCCTGGTGAAAGTTGAGTGGAATTTGCTTTTCATTTGAAGGTGTTTTAGGTGTTTCTGATCTCCAACTCCCAAATTAGTAGAGAGTTTTATCTCTCATATAATCTTCTTACAATACTGGATACAATGACTTTATGGATCTCATATAATCTTCTTACAGTACCGAATACAATGACTTTATAGATCCTCTTATGTTTTTCAATATCCTGTGACCTGTTATGAGTGAAGTAATTTGTAACTATCTTATCACCTTTTAAATTCCTAAAGCTATTTTACTTTTGCCACTTTATTAAGACACAAAATGCAATGCAGCAGCCACCTTCCCAAAGCTTTAAAGGTACCTAAGTTCAACTTGCTTTTTTCATCTGCAGAACAAAATACAAAAGTATTAACAAAAGTTCATAACAGTCTAATTAGATAAGGGAGCCGTTCAATGATTTCTTTTAATCGAAGCGAAAACGAATTTTTATTCCAACACCAACCCCCCAAAAACATAAAATCACTTAAACATATGGCACGTGGTCCCCGCCCACGCACTCTGTCTTTGATACTTGATGAGATCTCATGCTGGATCTGATAGCATATCCTAGATTTTTAATTTATTTAATTTAATTATTATTTCGCTTTCCATCTCTGCCAAGTACCAACCAACCAACCCCGAGCCACTGAGCTCGATGAGAGGAAGAAGGGGAAATATCATTTGCTATGCGTGGGGGAGGGGATAGATGTGGACAAGGTGGGTATTGTCAAAATAGTGTGTAAGACAACTTGCATTTACCAATCTATAGGTTTTTTGTTTTCCTTTTTCAGTAACGAGAGATTTGAATTTGGAATCTTCTTTAACGTTAAGAAAAACATACCATATATCAAAAGTTGGTAAGTACATGTATCAAGGGCTAGTAACGGGCGATTTGAACTTGAATTCTTTTTTAACATTGAAAAGAATATACAATGTATCAAGAGCTAGTTTGTTTAATCAAATCTATTGTTAACCTATAAGATAAACATAAAATTTAATTTGAATTTTCAACTAAATAATGGAATTCCAAGATGATATAGATTAACCTCTACACAATTTAATTTCTATAAACAAACTCAAAAAAATGACAATTAGCGTCATTAAATTTAATTTTGATTATTAAATTATTTTAATGTCCTATTGAGTATTTTATGTTTTATCAACGGAAATTCTGAATGATTTTTATTTCTACCAAATATAAAGAAAAGCAGTTATTGGATAAAAGGCAAGAAAAGGAAAGAACAGGAAATAGTGATGTGGCTTGGGGGGGTTGGTGTTTTACCAAAAACTAAACTTATTGGAGAAAAGTCCAGAACCCCAAAACACACACTCTCTCTCTCTCTCCTCCACTCTCGCTCCTCCCACCTTTTCCCTATTTTCCCTCCCCCGCAAGACCAGCGCGTGAACCGCCCGCCTGTCTCTAACATTTCTACCTGAGTCTGAGGGCTGACCTCACACAATCTCTCTCCCCACTTTCCTTCTCACCAAACCCACCCACCCCACCAATATATATATTCAAAACCCACCAACACACCCACACCCACTCTCCACCGCTAAAATCAACGCCAGCGTCACCAACACAATGGCCACGTCAGCACCCCACGCCCTACGCACCCCATTTCTCCGAAACCCCTCCCTCTCTCTCTCCTCCAAGCCTACTCTGTCCTCCGTTTTCCCCGTCTCTCTCTCCTCGCGCCGCCGGGCCGCACCGCGGCTCGTGGTGGTGCTCTCCGCTGCCCGGCTCGACGCCAAGCCCACCGTTCTAGTCGCCGAGAAGCTCGGCGAGGCCGGGCTCGACCTCCTCAAGGAATTCGCCAATGTCGACTGCTCCTACAACCTCAGCCCCGAAGAGCTCTGCACCAAGATCTCGCTTTGCGACGCGTTGATCGTGCGGAGCGGGACCAAGGTCAGCCGCGAGGTGTTCGAGTCTTCCGGCGGCAGGTTGAAGGTCGTCGGTAGGGCCGGCGTCGGCATCGACAACGTGGATCTGGGGGCGGCGACTGAGTTTGGATGCTTGGTGGTGAATGCGCCCACGGCCAACACCGTCGCCGCCGCCGAGCACGGGATTGCTCTCTTGACCGCCATGGCTCGCAACGTCGCTCAGGCTGACGCGTCTGTGAAAGCCGGTGAGTGATTCCAATACTGTAATCTTTTCTCTGTTTTAAGAAATGTTCGTTGGGGCATTTCGTCGAACATTTTTTATTCAATTTTGGTGCGTTGTCAGGGAAGTGGCAGCGGAACAAGTATGTTGGTGTTTCTCTTGTTGGGAAGACCTTGGCTGTGATGGGATTTGGGAAAGTTGGATCTGAAGTGGCTCGGCGTGCCAAGGGGCTCGGCATGCATGTGATTGCGCACGACCCATATGCACCCGCGGATCGTGCTCGCGCCATTGGTGTGGAACTTGTGAGCTTTGATGAGGCTTTGGCATCTGCTGATTTCATATCCTTGCACATGCCTCTCACTCCCGCCACTTCAAAGGTTCTCAACGACGAGACTTTTGCGAAGATGAAGAAGGGAGTTAGAATCGTGAACGTTGCGCGTGGGGGAGTTATTGACGAAGATGCACTCGTCAGGGCACTCGACGGTGGAATTGTTGCTCAGGTTGGTTCTTACCCTTTTCATATTCAATATTCATATGCATTTTAATACTTAGCAGGAAATTTAATGTTTTGTTCTGTTTTTGTTTTTGTTTTTTGATCTCTAGGCTGCTCTTGATGTGTTCACTGTGGAGCCACCACCACAAGGCAACACGTTGGTGTTGCATGAGAGAGTTACTGCAACTCCTCACCTTGGTGCCAGTACCATGGAGGCACAGGTGGGTTTTGCTGTTTTGCATCCGTCTCTTAATGCCTAATTTTTCTCCTCACCTGGGTATCTTATGATCTTTGGAATTTATGTGCAGGAAGGTGTGGCCGTTGAAATTGCTGAAGCTGTCGTTGGAGCCTTGAAAGGGGAGCTTGCTGCCACTGCACAATTGCCCAATATATACTTGTATCTTTGTTCTTACTGGCTTGTTTGTAGATGTTATAAAACTTTATAGTTGTTTGTTTTATGCAGTCATATCAGGGTTCTAAGAAGTCTCTGAGTAGTCGAGTTTTTGAAATTTTCAAGTTTCAGTTTCCAAATCTAAAATCTTTGTAATGTGGTAGTGTTTGGTAAAGAAGGGGTGTGGGTTCTATTCTTACAAATTATGTAAATATTTCAAGCTGTTGCAGCGATTTACAATTTCTTTTGGCATTCTTGATTGCAGGTGTTGACAGAACTGAAGCCATATGTTGTACTTGCTGAGAAACTTGGGAGACTGGCAGTCCAACTAGTGGCTGGAGGCAGTGGTGTGAAAACTGTCAAAGTTTCATATGCCTCAGCTAGGGCTCCTGATGACCTTGACACTAGGCTGCTTCGAGCCATGATTACTAAGGGTCTCATTGAGCCCATTTCCGACGTTTTCGTGAACCTGGTCAATGCTGATTTCACTGCTAAACAGAGAGGACTAAGAATAACAGAAGAGCGAACCGTTCTCGATGGTTCACCCGAGAGCCCACTCGATTCAATCCAAGTTCAGATTGCCAACGTGGAATCCAAATTTGCCAGTGCCATATCAGAGAGTGGAGAGATTACGGTGGAGGGTCGGGTTAAGGATGGGGTTCCTCACTTGACGAAGGTTGGATCATTTGAAGTTGATGTGAGTTTGGAAGGTAGCATAATACTCTGCAGACAGGTTGACCAGCCGGGTATGATTGGAACAGTTGGAAGCATTTTAGGAGAGGAGAATGTGAATGTCAGTTTCATGAGCGTTGGAAGGATTGCGCCAAGAAAGCAGGCTGTGATGGCAATTGGGGTGGATGACCAACCCAGCAAGCCAGCTTTGAAAAGGATTGGAGATGTTCCAGCCATTGAAGAGTTTGTTTTCCTCAAGTTGTAGTGTTGCATTATATTCATCTGTGCCTTTTTGTATCCTTATGCTTTTATCTCTTTTAAAGGGGGCATGGCTTTATCTTGCCTGCCCGATTTTGAAAATCCTTTGGGTTTCTGGTAGATTTAGGGTGAGAATGAAGAATAAATCAGTTTGCGATGCTATGGATGTACTTTATTGAGTTATTATTGCCCCCAAATTTCAATTTTCTCATGTTTTGATGAATCACCATGTTGATATTGCGTGCCAAATTCCTTGCAATGCTTTTAATTTGCTTTGCAGTTGCAAAAAGTAATTATTACAAATTGCTTTCATGGCAGCTTTGAGAGAATGCAGTCCTTTTTCCTGCTGGATGAGGGAATTAAATGACAGCTTCTGTTTTGGATGAGGGAATTAAATGACAGAATTTGGAAAGTTTAGATTGATGCCAAAAATTAATACCAAATTGTTCCTATGCATAGTAGGTATCGGATGAAAAGGTTGTTCCTACGCATAATAGGTATCGGGTGAAAAGCACTTTTTCATTGCTCGTTGAACTCATCAGAACACTGAAAATTTTCTCCATAACATGAATATTATTTCCTTATGGTGTATGTGAGAGAGAATCATCGTTCTACGGCCCATTCACCATGCACAATCTTTAGTAATCTAATGTGGATAAAAACTCATGTGGAAGTATCTGACCAAAAATAAAACTTACGTGGAAGCCTCGACTCAAGAACCAGAAAGGAAAGGAACCTGAGCTACAGTTGTTGGTAGGGAGATGTGGAGGTTTTGAACTGCTAAATAGGCAGCAATACCGGCAGCATAACCGGCAAAAGCGAAACCGCTCACCTGCACAGCAGACAAGGATTTTTTTTAACCAACACCAAATAGGGAAATGAAACTTCAAATATGTTTTCGAAGACAATATTCTACACCAGTTGATTAATACCTTCCGCAAGTACCAAAAGAAGTCCACCTTTTCCATCCCCATAAAAGCAACTCCAGCTGCAGAACCAATAACTAGCATGGATCCACCAGTACCAGCACAATATGCAATCAGTTGCCAAAACTCAGAATCCTTTGGAAAGGAAGTTAGATCGTACATCCCCATAGTTGCAGCAACCAGTGGAACATTGTCTATAATTGCCGATACAACTCCTATTGAACTTGCAATCAGTTCAACATTGGGGATGTGAGCATCCAGGTAATTTGCTAACTCTCGAAGAATTCCCGCTGCCTCCAGGCTAGAATAGAAGAAAGTTAAGTTCAGAAAGTGAAACTCATGAAGCCACTTTTTAAAAGAAGCAGGGGACAACCTTTGCATATTCTGTACATAAAAAGCCAAGCCGTGCAATATATATGATTGACTTGAAACTTCTTGACTGCTTAATTATATGATGCAATTGCACGAAAAAGAAATTGACTACAGTATTTGTCTATTCACCTGCTAACAGACAACAGGATGCCAAGGAAGAAAAGTGCTCCTTGAGTGTCAATTCGTGACAAAGCCTGTGGTACCTTTAACTTTTGTCTTTCTGATTCACCATAATGTATAGCATCAGTCAGAACCCAAAGGACTCCAAGTCCCAGCAGAATACCCATGTAAGGAGGCAAACCAGTTAGGGCCTTGAACACTGGAACAAAAACCAAAGCTCCAATGCCTACAGAAAAAACAAGCTTTCCCCGAGGAGCCATCTGTTCAGATGCCATAACATTGGACGTGTCCGGCGCTTTCCCACTTACTTCACTGAATGGAAGAAAAACTCACATCATTCCTCTATTATCCATTAAGTAATTCTAAGTTACTAACTTTCATATCTCAGTTCCCCGTCTTTGGTCTGACAACACAAAAGAAGTACCTAGTCAGGGACATGAGTGCCAGCGGAACAGCAAGAGAAACGGCTGAAGGTATAAACAAGGTCTGTAAGCAAGAAAATGTGTTCATTTTATGTCAGAATATTGATAAAATAATTCTTTAAGGATGATATTTTTATGTAGACAAAATAACAGATATCTGAACAAAAAACTTGGCACATAGGACCAGAAACTCTAAATGGAATTGTCAATTTCAAGTGGTTTGCCACATAAAACAGGGGTTATGCTTATATCCACTCTAATTGATTACATAACTGCTAAATCAATCAGGTCCACAAAATTTTATAACACTATAATAAAAAAATCAATTATGTATTGTCATCCTCAACATTTGGTAAGCCAAATCCAAAAACCAATAGAGCTATTATCTTGTTGTAACTAACTTGCAGTTCAAACTTCCAAGTTCAGCATAGAACTAATATGCAGCATAAACCAAGTTCCTAGACAATTCCATGATTGCTTGTGTACAATCTCCACTTTTATATTAGACAATACATCAACCGGCATCAAGCATAAATCCCTAGCAATAGATAATGCGACAAGGTGAAAATAAATGAAATCAATAAAGAATAATACTATTTGTACCACATTTATTGACCACTTTGCTGACCACCTCTCTAATAGAAGTGGGCCCCACTAATGTATGTGGGACCCTCCTGTATTAGAGAGGTGGTCAGTAAATGTGGTACAAATAGCAGTACTCATAAATAAATAAGAGAAGAAATTTGATATATGAATAAGCTTCTCAGAATGAGGAAAAAGACCTTCATTGTTTCCAATGTGGATATCTGACCATGTATCCACAGCATGGTAGTGGTAACATCACCAATAGGAGTCCATGCACCACCAGCATTTGCTGCTATGACAACAACAGCTCCTAAAATCCTGACAACAAAATACAATTCTGTAAACGAAGTGAAAAATCATGCATCAATTTGGGGTCCATTATTGCATCAATATAACTTCATAAATGACCCATTGAGGTATGAACTATGAACATGCTAAAAATTATGACAAAAAAAAAAAGATATGAACATGCTAAACTGGTGCTTAAGAGATGCCACTTCTAAGAAAGAATATGAAAATCAATCAATGCCATTAAAGGGTATCCAGGAATGAGTACCAAAAATTCAATCTCAACGTGCATGTCCAAGTTGCTGTTTAAAGAGAATCTTTATAAAATAATCTGGAACAAACACAGTTGTAGTGATTATCAAATTTCTAATTGATTTCATAAGTAACGCCAGCACAAAGAGGTATAAGCCTCACTTAGAAGACATACGATTTCTCAAGTGGTTATCCACAAGGTGTTAAAGATGCAACAGACAACTGATCATTTTTAGAATGAGGAGGATGATAATATTCCCGGGCTAGAATAATAATAAGTGGCAATATTGCAGGCAGGGCAATATATGGGGTAGTTTCCCAACTGACATAGAAATGTTGCAACTGTTTCCCAACTAGTAATATGCAAGATCTCATCTTCCCTTTTGTTTCTTGAGAAACCGGAGAAGCAATGTCTTCATTCAATGAAAAATTTCAGACAAGAATCTCAACAGATACATTCACCTTAATATGACCTTGAAACACAGTTGCAAATTCTTACCTAGAACTATTCCAAGACATTAACAAGAAAGAGTAACTTTTAAAAGTTGAAACTATTAAAAGAAAAAAGCACAGTTGCCTCACATACACAAGTAACATTACATTGGATGATATCTACTGAAACCAATATCAGGCAATCTTCGAAAAGAACCTCACATAGAAGAGATAGATAGTAGATGGTCAGAACATACTTGCGAAATTCGGAGGAAGGAACTAGTTTTCTCAGTAAAGAAACCATGACAATGGTAGATGTCAGGTTGTCAAGAACTGAACTAAGGCAAAAAGTCACAATACCCACCTGCAGAGTCAAGCATTAGTCTGATAGAATAAGTCGAACATACCAAATGCTCGGTAGAAAGGATTAACATACATCAACATGACAGCAGAAGCAAAGAACTCACCACCCAAAGGAGCGTCCTTGGCTTTCGAGTGGTTATATTGTCAGTAACCAGCTTAAATCCTTGATGAGAATCAACGATCTCTACAATTGTCATTGCACCAAGCAAGAAAAATACTATTTCACTGACTTCAGCAGATGCATGTTGTAACTCTGAAACAGCTATATCAGTTGAAGGAGCCTACAGAATATCAAAATTAATTCTAGGAGAAACTGTGTACAAGATATTGCAAAACCAGGTGGCAAAATATAAATCTTACCCCAATACTTCTCACCACCCACAGGCTCACAGCCATTAACAAACCTACTCCACTTTTGTTGAAGGCCAGAGATTCTTCAAAGATGATGCCCACATATCCTATTCCAAACAGCAATGCCATGGCAACATCCTGTATCACGAGTTGGTCATATAAACTTAATGTTGAAATAAAACATCCGTTTTAAAGGTGTGCAATTTTCTGCAGAAAAATAACTTAAGGAATCATGGGAAAGGCACAAAAAAAAGGATCAGGCTGCAAAATAAGGATGTACCTGATTGGCAGCAACCCAGGAATGGTTAATTGCTACTGCCCCTGTTGCAGCTGCTGCAAGTACTGCAATAGCTTTCAGCAAATCAGTCTTTGGCCGGTAATTGGCCTCAAAATCATGTGAGCTCGTTTCGTCCAATGAACATAAAGGATCACATGATCCAGAACTTGGGGACAAATCCTGATAATATGCTAAAGGTGATCCATAAATTGTGAATACCAGCAACAAACAATGGCAAGATGCCACACTAATTGAAACATAAAAACTTTATTTGATAGAGTCGTTTGAAAGGTTCAGAGAATTTAGTTCACTATGGAAACCAGCAACTAATAGATTATCTATTAGGTAATTCCATTCCCATGAACTAATAAATAAAATTATGTGCAGGGGCAACTGATACATTTCTAATACTAATGTCAAGGCATTAATAAAACTTTATCGCTAAAGGAGACTCCAAATCTCAACAATTTAATCAAAGTTACTAAATTTCACAAATTTAGCCGAATATATTGAATTTTGGACCCAACTTCGCAAAATTTAATCAATCAGATATGAAAACTTGTACAACTAACAACTGGGTACTGTTAAAAAAGGAAGCTTTTGTCAAAGAAGAACCTGAAACTCTTTCTCAGAGCTGGGCTGAACTTGCTGCTGCTGAGCCGACGAAGAAGAAGAATTCGAACCTCTAGCTTTGTCTTCAGCTCTGGCCAGTATACCACTCCCCGGCAATCTTGAGCCTCGAATTCCACGCAAAGATGAGCCAAAGCAAGGCTGAGAAGGAGATAAGCTTTGGGTCTGAGAAAGAAAGGGCAGTGAGCGTTTCTTCAAATGGTGGTGGGATGGAGGCAAGCGGACCCCAATTGAGAGGGAAGCCATTGGAGCTAGGTAGGGTTGAAGAGAAGAAGAAGACGATGAGAGTACTGGGTTTGGATCAGTGTAAACTGCAGAGCTTCTTTGTTATGTAATGTTTGGCAAGTTGCATGGAATTTGAAAAGTATTTACAGATATGTGGAAGTAGTTGAAATGGGAGTGGAAGTAATGTTTCTTGTTGGGTTTGTTCCGCTGATGAAATATTATTATCGGAAACTTGAAAAAGTTTGGCCCTACTCGATCCTCTTCGTCCCTGCAAAACCTCTCCAATCAGCTATTAATAATTTTTCATATAAAAATACTTATTGCATTTTTCATCTTTTTAATTCCATTCAATATTCATCTTCTTTTTTTTTATAGGAGTGGTATTAGAGGAGCGGGTTGGCCCCATCCGATAGTAATTGCTCTTAATCGCTTAAATTACAACTTGGTTGCTCTGTTTTATAATTCTGACTTGTCAAAACATAATTTTCAGTTAAACTCCTCCTGATTTCCTCATGTGATGGATTGTTTGATTAAAGAAAATAAAATTAGAGCTGCCATCCACCACATAGTGCAGTCTAAAATATTAGGGCCCGTCTGGTAACGTTTTCAGAGAGCATTTTCAGAGAATGTTTTCATAGAATGAAAACGAGAAAATGAAAACGCATTTTCAGAGAACAAAAACGCGTCTGGTAGCTTAGTTAAAAACTGTTTTCAAAGAACAAAAACAGTGAAAATGCGTCTGGCAGTAATTTGTGAAAATGACAAAAAATAGTGAATATGCGTTCGGTAAGAGGATTTTATTTTATTTTTTAAACTAACATTTTCACACATTTATGTATGTAATTAGTCCAACACCTTTTTTATTATGCACACCAAACATGTTTTTCTCGTTTGATCTATTTTACTAAAATTAAAGAGCTTGGATTAAGTTAGATTTAAGAAAAAGTGATATATCTATGCATTTGGCTTAGTTTAAATTAGTCGATTGAAACATTCATTGGCTTCTAGACCAAATATTACAAAAACTTGTTCATTGACACACAAGAAAAAAAATTAATAATAATAAAAATTAAAAATTACAATAATATAATCAAGAGCCTTGGGTGAAATCACGCCACAAATCTTGTGCAATCTTATCTCTAATGTTGGTCATTTGTGCAATATTTTCCGGAGACATATCTAAATTTGGTGTAGCCATATCTTCACCCTCAACAATGATGTCTTCTACTTGAAACTCTTCGAACAACCTATCACGACGTGCTTCTCTTCGGATAAAATTATGTAACACACAACATGCAATGGGGATACGTCGTTGCCTACGTGGAGGATAATTGGGCATCAATTTCAAAATTGGAAAACGAGCTTTCAACACACCAAAACACCGCTCAATTATATTACGTAATGAAGAATGCCTATAATTGAATAATTCTATAAGACCTCTTGGTGCTCGGCGTGGTCCCCCTATAATCATGCAAATGATATCTCTCACCTAGGTAAGGTGCCAAGAATCCAGTCATATTTGTATATCCAGCATCCACAACATAGTAATATCTTGTTAATTAATTCGTTATTTGAATGTGATAATAAT